TATTTTGGAGAATTCTTCCAGCGTAGGCACCAACTGATTGTCTGGAAATGTGAAGCAGTGGTGCTTAGGGTCGAAGAGCTGGAATAAGACACTCATCAAACCCTCGTCAAAACTGGTAGTAACCAAACTGAGCAAGTGACCATATCCCTTGTTGAATGATGAACTCTCATGAACTTTTGAAACCATTTCTTTGAGTTTGGGGGGGATCTCTACAAAATTTATTCGAATCGTTTTTCTGCGAGTGGAATTCGTGACCTACAAAACAGAGAAGAGATAAATCCACAGGCCCTTGAAATGGTTAGTGTACATGACATGTTATGGTGTTTATGATGTTATGATTATGCTTTGAAATCACAAGTGTATCAAACACAAACAAGTCACACAGAGACCTTAGGTTTAAACGCTTGCATGAGTTTTAAAGGTAAGTACCCTCTTGAAGTTTCAGTTGGCTCAACCTGTCCTATTAATAGTAACCGGGTTCTAAGGACTCTCATATCACTGACCTTTCTTTTAGGCATTGTTCTAGCTCAAGCACCAAAGTATTACGGCCAAAATATCTCAAAAGTCCAATCTCAATGAGTGTAGCATCGAGTATCAACCAATCTTCGGTCGGAACCAAAGTCGGCCATATCACTACTTTCTAATGGCTTAGGATGATTCAATTAAATGTTCTAAAGGTCAGTTAGCGCTTAATGACACTAGGGAAGCTTAATGTTATCCTTGACTAACTCAAGGAACATTAGTACAAACCAGAGTATCACGTTAACGTAGCTATCACTTTGTCCATATCGGTATATGCCTTACAGCCTCCATGATTTATTGCTACTTACCTAATAAGGTGCCCCAGATCCGGGTGTAGGATCTTTAACAATAACCCAAGCAACCCTTTTAAAAATAAAGCATACAAAACACACAAGGAAAGAAATTAAAATAATCTAAACTCTAAGGTAACCCCACTTTTTATATTCCCCAGTAGAGTCGTTAGTTCTGTGATACGGTGGCAGAACCAACTGTTGTACTGGTTTTGTGTTTGTGTTTGCAAATGTTGCGGTAAAAAAGAGTCGCCACTGACTTTTCTTGTATCCAACAAAGGAAAGGGTGAAATAAATAGAAAAAGACCTTTTCGAGAATTTTCTGAGTAAGGGGGGTAGATTATGGAAAGGGAAGGTGTTAGCACCCTTTCCATCCGTAGTTATCTACGGGCTCTTAGATGCTTAGCTCATTTTAAAAGTACCTTGTGCTTTTTGTGTTTTGAAAAATGTTTTGAAATGCCTTGGTGCAGCGATTTGCTTTGCGTTAACTCTTGTATCAGTCCTCAAGAGTGTTGACAAAACAAATGTTTTTGAAAGTTGTTTTTGAAATGTGTAAGTGTAAAAAGTTTGTTTTGAGCATAACATCTAAGAACTATCTACTTATACTCGAAAAGGTTATTCTTTTACTCCTATCCTTTATACAATGCTATCCTACTATTAGTGAGTAGGTAGCCCTATCGTTGGATGTTGAGGGACAATCGAAGGGACGTACAGTCATAAAGGCAACATGTGGAGACGCTTTAGCAATTTTGTTTAGGGACTATATCATTTACTGAGAGGCAACTGTAGGATCATCGAGGGACTATGATCTTTTATTTTATAGGTCTTTGCTAACGCATCCCTATTTCGAGGGACATGACTGTTTTATTTTCGAAGGAAACCAAGGTGGGGTACCCTAGAGGTGCATGTATGCAAGTGATTCAATTCAGTTTATTTATATTTGTTATTAAGTTTGCTAGCGTTTGACTTCAGTCTTTTCATACAAGCCTAGTTACTAACAGTTAATATTTTGTATAAATTTAAAGTGCGGGAATTTAAATCCTATGCTATTACAATGCTTCGGGGATGGGGAATTTACATGTCCAAATGGGGGAAAGAAAATAAATAAAAGCAGTAAAGTCCTATTTTAATCTATTACATCCCATCAGTAGGTACATTATTATAAAAATGCGAGAATAAGATAATGCGCGCGAAATAGAGACGGACGTCTAAAACCCTAAGAAAATTTCAAAGTAAACAAGAAAATCTTTTTTTTGTTTTGTTTATTTTTTATTAAGAAAAATAATTAAACTAAGTCTAAATTTAATTAAGAAAATATTTGAATTAAATAAACCTAAGTCTAGTTGATTTTAAATTGATAAAATAAAATTAAAATAATTAATTAAATTAAATTACAAAATTAAAATTAATTTAAGAAAAAAACCTAAGTCTATTTAATATTTTTTTGATTTTATAATTTGTTAGAAAAAAATATTAAGAGTAAAATATAAAACAAATAAAAAGCTAAAAAGAAAAATAGAAAAAAAAACATAAAATTGGGCCTAATATCAAAAATAAATGGGGGGGGGGGGGGGGGGGGGAGCTTTTGGAATTGCTAGGCCCATGTATGAAAGAGCCTAGGCCATGCTGGATCCTGTATTGGTTACCCATGAAGGTGTATGATAGACTAGCACCCTAGGGGGCGTTGGATCTTTAGTCTGTTGGCCCAAATGTGAAGGCACATGGTAGGCGCTTGGTGCTTCAACATATTGGATCCTGCGAGAAAATGTTAGAAAATGTAAAATTGCTGGACCTGGGACTCGAACCCAGGCCCTCTCCCTTTCAAACGCGCTTCCTATTCATTCGGGCATTATAACAAACGCATAGCATTATATGTGAAACAAAGTCAGATATTATTAAATAAAAAACACGCGCTGATGAAATTCAAAGGGACCAATCAGGTAACATGAAAGTGCCACACATGCTCCTGCCTGAGTCAAACAACCAGAGGGACGCCAGACTCAAACTCCGGTCATCTTCTCCGGGACATCAAAATATGGATCTTGCGAATTGGTTAGTTTCAAGACTGAATCAAAATCCTATTCCACTTAAAATTTCTCCCTGATCACGAATCTGGCCTTAGATTGGCCAGAAAACTCCTGCATCTTGAGTTATGAACAGAAAACCCTAGCACGGTTTGAAAATAGTACATTATGATTCATGCGTCATGAAATTCATGCTAGACCCTTAACATGTTCTAATGATGCCTAACAACTCAAAAATACATGTCATAGCATTCAAAAATGCGCAAAAATAAGGATTTGAATTTTAGAAATTTACCAAAATAGTGATGATTGAAAGTGGTAGTTCTGACGTGTGTTGGCTTGAATGAGGGTTGGGAGTGAGTCTGGGATCTTCAGGAAGAGGATGGCACGCTTGGTTTGGATGGATGGTGGCTGAAAATTCAGTTTTAAATTTCACAACTTTGAGAATTTTTTTACAATTTTCGTGTGGTCTCTAGGATGTATGTATGCGTGAGTTTGGCTAGCATATGTGATGTATATATAGAGGAGATGGAGTTAAGACGAAATCATGGAAAGAAATCAAGCATTAAGGTTGTGTTTCAAGGCCATAAATGACATTTTGAATTCTTGCCAAAAATGAGATTTCATGCCTTGTTTGATGCTGAACGAATCTGGACACCCCCCTGCACGTGTTCATAGGCCTCATGTCAAGATAAAACAATAGCCTAAGGGTCAAGTCCCATTTCCAATTATTTTGTACCATTTATTTTATATTTATTTGAAATAAATCAAAATAAATATGATTAAAATAAAGGAAAAATGCAAGGTAATGTAGAAATGCTTTTAGGGGTCCTTTATAATGTTAGTAGGGTGTTTGAAGTCCAAAATGTTGGGCCATTGCGTTAACAATCCAAGTTTATTCAATGCATAATTCTTGAAATTTCCCAAAATTTTCCAACTTGGGAAAACCATAACTTGCTCAATTTTGATCTCATGATGATGATCTATGACTTTTTGGAAAGCCCAAGATGTCATAATTCAATCCCTATTTTTATAAATTTTGCATTTGAAGAATGTATCTTAATGTAAATGGTCTTGATAAAAAGTGCCTTTTGTTGACCTTTTGAAAATGACCTGTAATGTATGAGCTTGTATCTTTCAAATGGTGCATCTCTTGATCTCGAGCACAAAAGAGAAGTTGTAGGGAATGAGATCATCTTTAAAAGGAGCTTTGGTTGGGAAAAATGGATGAAGTATGTGTAAGTTATGCCTGGTCAAAGTTTAATTGACTTTTCTTATAGAAACCATAATTTAGCAATTCTTGACTTTTGATGAATTAAGAACATTTCTTGAGGAATCATGATCAAACCTTGATAAAATGATGGATATCACTTCAAAAGGTTAATGTTGACCAAAAATCTTGAAGTTTGACTGTATATAGGCCACAATTCACTTTTGACCTAATATAGATGATTTTCAAACAATTGAGCAATTGACTGAGCAAACTTATAGTGTAGGGTATGAAATTTGGCATGGACAACCTTGAAGGCATGTTAGGGCCATGGAAAACATTTGAGGCCTTTGGAGCTCACACATCTTGATGAAAAGTGAAACCCTAATTAGAGGTTCATTGCTTAGGAGGACAATTTGTCTGGTCAATTCTTGGTCAACCTTGAGCAATTGAGGACTTTTAGGAGCATGCCTTAAGTAGAATTGGGCGGGAAAATTTTGGCCAAAACAATATCTCATGAACAATTTGAATTCTTTTTGTTGTCATCAGGCGGATGAATCTCATGATATTTTTTTGATTACCCCTGTTAGTTGCAAAATTTTACGATAAACCGTATAAGAAAAAAACTCTTATGTTCTCAACTTTTCATTCAACTGAACCCCTGCCAAAATATATAAAAAAAAACGAAAAATATTAGAGAAATAGAGAAATTGAATTTTTTTTTTGTTAATCACTGTAAGATTGAGAGAAATATTTGGATGAAAAAGAAAAAGAATAGTAATAAAATTATTAGTAGCTTCCTCCATCGTACTCCAACAATCTGCCTTCATCTCTCGCTGTATAAACCAGCGCACAACCTTCCAAAATCTGTTACAACTCTCGACAACCATCCACAATCATATAGCATCACTCTAATCCTCAATATCCAACCTTAAAACTCCCATCCTCAAATCATTACCAACCATACGAACAGTGGAAAATAACAACACAAATTACAGACAAGATAAACACATAGCTCAAATTCAGAAACGGGAAGAACAAAAAGAAGGCGGACTCAGAAAAAGAAATGAAAGAGAAATAGAGTCTGACGTGATTTAGCATACCTTGGATTGACTGAGAAGTGTTCCAACTTAAACGCATCGAATACACTGTTTTCCAAGATCCAGATATCCTCACCACCGTCACTTTCCTCAAATCACATTCCTTCTCCAACGCTGACATCCCCCGTCTCAACCATCACTGTCCCAACCTCCTCTTCACCGACCCCAACCACTTCCTCAAACCAACTCTCAACTTCCTACACAAAATCAGAATCTGTGGGTTAAACAAACCAACAAACCAGAACACGCATCTGTTGATCAAGCGCGTGGAGAAGCTGTGGCTGAGGGTGAGATTCATGGAGGAGGAGGTGGGGTTTTATTATGACGAAGCGGTTAATGTAGTTGTGAGGCTACCGGCGATATTGGGATACGATGTGGAGAATAGTTTGTGGCCTAAGTTTGTGTATTTGGTGAAAGAGATGGAGAGGGATTTGGAGGAGTTGAAGAAGTTTCCTCAGTTTTTTTTGGTTTAGTTTAGAGATGAGGATTGTGCCAAGGCATTTGCATTTGAAGGAAAGATGTGTTAGGATGCCTTTGAATAGAATGCTGATGTGGGGGGATCAGAAATTCTATGCCAAGTGGAAGTGAAGTCAATTAACATCATCACTTGAATTATCGCAATCTAGAATTTTGCGATAATAGATGTGATTACATCATTTTGACAATAATAGATCATTTGAATTTTCATTAATAATAATAAATAAAAAATTGTTTTCACTAAAATAACCAAATTTTACTAGGGTATTTAATTTTATTAATTTTAGTAAAGAATTCATTTAGAAATATAATTAATTTAGTTAGGGTAACCACGAATCACTAACTTTGCGCATATTCGAATTCTCTTCGACGCAATCTCGCAATCTCGTAAATAATTCACGATACATTGTACATAATTCACTAAGTCGCTAACAAAACAAATATACCCAAAATGTTATTTTAATTATTTTTTCAATTAATTTTATTTAATAGTTTGTTTTAGTTTAATTAATTGGTTATTTTTAATTCGATTGAGTTGTATTGATTGTTTATTTAGACTTTTAATCATATTGGCGATTCAACTCATCCTCATTCATAAATTTGTACCCCCATTCCCGAAAGCTTTGTAATAGCGTAGAACTTTAATTTCCGCAATTTACTGTTTTTCTTTATACTGTATAGTAATTTGGTGTGTATGATAAAATATAAAATCAAACGATAGATAACCATAAACTTCAAGATAAAATAACCGAAAACAAATCACTTTTAGCACATGTGCACCTCTAGGGTCAACCTCGCTTGTTGCCTCGGAAAAACAGTCATGTCCCTCGAATATGGGCCGTTTTAGCTAAGACCCTCGATTAAAAAGATCGTTGTCCCTCGATGGCCCTTCGATGTTGCCTTCGGTAAAATGATCTTAATACCTACGAAAATTGCTAAAGCGTATTACAAGTTGCTTTCTATGACTGTACGATTGACCCGCGCCTGTCCCCTCATATCCAATGATAGAACTTCTTATCAATCAATGGTAAAGATGGAAATATCCAAAGGAGGAGGAAAAGAATGAATATTTTTTGAGTAGGTATATCGTTCATAGTTGCTTGCTCACAATCATTTTAGAAAGAACATATTTCAAACACACCAAACACTCTTTCATGTAATATTTTCAAAAGTCAACACTCTGTATACATTCTTATAGAGACGAGAATCATTACAAAGTTCGCCTAAACAAAGGAACTTTTCAAAAATATTTTTAAACTATCACAAACACATTTCAAACAAATCATTTTCAAAGTGAGCTAACAACTAAGAGCCCGTAGATAACTACGGATAAAAAGGGTGCTAACACCTTCCCTTTTCATAACCTACCCCTCGGACTCAAGAAAATTCTCAAAAGGTATTTCTGATTCTTTTCACCCTTTCCTTTATTGGATAAAATAAAAGTCGGTGGCGACTCTTGCTATCTGCAACAATTGCATAAAACGCAAAACACCCAAGTCAGTTCTCCCACCGTATTACGGAACTGGCGACTCTGCTGGGGAAAATTTAAAATTGGGGTTACCTTAGAGACTAGATCACCTTTAAATGATTTCATTGTTTAACTTGTTTGCTTTACATTTTGGTTTCTTGTTTGAGTTTTGTATTGATCCTCTATCCGGATCTGGGAACATTATTAGGTAAGTAGCCAAGATTGTAGAGACTGTACGAAGTAGACCAATATGGTTGAGACAATAGCTACGTTAGTGTGACATATTTGTGGGTACCGGTATCCCTTATGGCGAATTAAGGAGAATAAGGGGCCGCTGTGTGGTGTCATGAAGCACTAATTAACCTTAGAACCTTTTGTTGAACAACTTGGCCATTAGGAAGTAGTGAGATAGCCGGCTTTGGTGCAGTCCGAAGTTGGTTGATACTCGATACTACAATCATTGAGATCATACTTTCGGGATATTTCCGTCTCTAAAACAAAGGCTTGCGCTGAAATAATGCCCGATGAAGAAAGATCGATGATATTGAGATTCCCTAGGACCCGATTACTTTCTAGAATAGGTTGAACCAACTAAACTTCAAGAGGGAACTTACCTATGAACTTCATGCAAGCCTAAACCTAAGGACTTGTTTAATTTGTGTGTATATGTTTACTTGTACATGACATCATGACATCATACCATGGAATTTTGCATACACCATTTCAAGGACCTTTGGGATTTATGTTTGTGCTGTTTTGTAGGACATGGCTTCCATGCGAAAAAATACTATCCGAATAAACCTTGTGAAAGTGTCTCCTCAACTTAAGGAATTAGCATCAAGGGTTCCCAATGATTCTCTGTTCACCAAGAAGTATGGTCTTCTCATCAACTTGGTTACCTCGAACTTTGAAGAGGACATGGTACATGTGATTTTTCAATTCTTTGATCTTAAACACCATTATTTCACATCTCCAGATTATCAACTAGTGCCTAGCATGGAAGAATTTTCTCAACTCTTCGGGGTGCCTATTCTTGATTAAATACTTGTCACCGGTATTGAGAAATATCCGAGACCTGAGGATATTGATCGAACTTTACATTTGCAACGGTCTGATGTTGTGGCAAATTGGGAAACAAGAAGTGGTGTTAAGGGTTTTCTAGCCAAGTTTCTGTTTGAGAAGGCCCAATTGTTTTAGGAGTCTATGGATTTGCAAGCGTTTGAAGAGGTTTTGGACCTTCTAATCTATGGGTTGGTACTATTTCCTAACCCAGACCAACTCATAGATGTGAATGCGGTCAAAGTTTTTCTATCTCATAACCCAGTGCCTACCTTACTTGGAGACATCTTTCACTCTCTTCAAACTCGCACCATGAAGAGAAGAGGGATTCTTATATGTTGCACTCCTTTAAGGGCGAGGTGGTTTATTTCTCACCTCCCTTGACCAGTTTTGAATAATGAACGAGGTATGAGATGGTCTATTAGGTTGATGTCACTCTCGCATTCGGATATTCATTGGTGTTCTCGATCTTTGGAGGATGTTACCATTATTGACCGCTGTGGGGAATTACCTAATGTCCCCTATACTTTTCATTAGGGGAGGTATCACTTATAATCCTTGTTTGGCTTTGAGACAGTTTGGGTATGCTAGGATGGATGGTCCTCATGATGCACTTGTCCAAGGAATTGCATTTGACTATGAGAGTGATGTCCAAAGTTATCGTTAAAGATTTGTACGAGCTTGGGGCATGGTGAACAAAGTTGATAGCAAGACATTGGGGCATAGGAACTCCATTTCTTTGGAGCCTTATCTCAAGTGGGTGCAAGCTCGCGCTCAAAACCTCATGATGCCATATGAGGACATCCTACCTATCATCATGGAGCCTATTGCCGAAGGAGATGTTCCTTACATTATTCTTCATCCTGGCATGCCGACTACTCTCGAGGAGTTGCAAAGATCAAGGATTCAACTCAAAGGGGAGCGGTACACCTTTGAAACCCAGTTCTACGCAAGCGGGAAGAAGGTTTTGGAGCTCACGAGAAAACTTCATGAAGAGAAGAGTTTGAATGCCTACATTGCACCGAAGAGGATGAGCTCATGGGAAGCTTGAGTACTTTTTGTTTTAGGAGTTTATTTTGTATTATCTTTGCTTCTTCCATTGTAAGCCCACGAGGAATTTTTGTAAATCGTTTGAACTTATTGATACAATTAATGTTTTTTCCTTCTTTGTTTAAACAAATTTAAATCTTGAAGGTCCTTGAAAACATTTGCATTCGCATTAAATGCATCATAACATAAGCATGTTTTACGATACATGTTTCCTCATCTTTCTACTGTTTATTTCAGTAAGATGGATCTCGAGCAGACCGTGAAAGACTTGCTGACACAAAATTCTCAATTTCAAGAAACCTTGCTCACCTTGGCCAAAGGACAATAAGAGTTGATGTCACTTCTAGTGGCCAAAAAGAACACCAAGAAGAAGGCACTGATCAACATAGGGAAAAGGTTTAAAGGCCCCGTCCGTCAATTGAAAGTGGTTGAGGAGTCATCCAAGGAGGACAAAAACCAGGATGAAGATGAAAGAAGCACCCGTGCTGGGGGTGGAAACAATCAAGCTTCTGAAGATGAAGATTACTTTTATGAACAGTATCCACCGGCTGAGGATAAGCACAAGAAACTGGAAGATAGGTTGAAAGCTGTGGAAATTCAAGCTGTACCTGGCTTGGATTTTTGTGATTTGGGCTTAGTTCCTGGGTTTGTTATCCCCCACAAGTTCAAAATTCCAATCTTTGCTAAGTACGACGGGGTTTCATGCCCAAAACTTCACTTGAGGTCCTACGTCCGTAAGATACAATGGCATACCACTGATAAGAAGTTATGGGTACACTTATTTCAAGAGAGTATGTTTGGGACTCAATTTACGATGGAGTAGTTAAGTCACTTCTAAATTGAGTGACTCATCAATCAAAAACATAGGAAAGCAATAAAATCCTAAAGGGAGCATGCTCTGAGAGCGAAGTCGTGATCTCAATTCCTAAATTAAGTGACTCATTGATCAACAACCAAGGAAAGAAAGAAAATCATATAGGGAGCATGCACTGAGAGTGAAGTCGTGATCTCAATTTCTAAATTGATTGACTCATCAATCCACAATCAAGGAAACGAACACAAGCACA